TAAGGGTAGAATTGCTGATTTCTATTGTGTTTCTAATTTCTACTATTATATTTTAATTTCCAAGATCTTGTATTTATTCTCTGAATTTTTTTTTAAGATGGAGTTGCATTCCCATTGCCCAGGCGTGAGTGCAGTGGCGTGATCTCGGCTCACTGCAACCTCTGCCTCCCGGGTTCAAGCGATTCTCTGGCCTCAGCCTCCTGAGTAGCTGGAATTACAGGCATGTGCCACCACATCCAGCTAATTTTATATATATATATAATTTTTTTTTTTTTTTTGAGATGGAGTTTCGCTCTTGTTACCCAGGCTGGAGTGCAATGGCGCGATCTTGGCTCACCGCAACCTCCACCTCCTGGGTTCAGGCAATTCTTTTTCGTCAGCCTCCCAAGTAGCTGGGATTACAGGCGCGCGCCACCATGCCCAGCTAATTTTTTTTTTTTTGTATTTTGAGTAGAGATGGGGTTTCACCATGTTGACCAGGATGGTCTAGATCTCTTGACCTCGTGATCCATCCGCCTCGGCCTCCCAAAGTGCTGGGATTACAGGCATGAGCCACCATGCCTGTCCTTACTCTCTGAATTTTTTAATAGCCTCTGGTTCTTGTTTCATAGCTATAATTTGCCTTCATTTTATGAAGATACTAGTGATGGATATTTTTGAAGTTTTCTTCTCCCTGCATAGTTTATTTTCACTAAGTTATTCTTTTGAGTTAGTGGGTTTTCATATACTTCTTTATTTGAGAATAGGTGGAGTTGGTCAATTTTGACCTCCCTTGAAGAGGAGTTTATATTTTGGGAGCAGGGTGGGTGATTTAAAGGGGGCTGAAGCAGTCCCACATTTCAAAATGCAGGCTTTCACCTAAGCCCATACTTCCTACTTCATCCCTATTCCCATTGCTCACCCTACCCTTCCCCAGAGTCCCTTTTGTCTTCTAGAACTTCTGGTGTCTTGAGGATTAGGAGATAAAATTGAAGCTGAGATAGTAGCCTATCTGTGCTTCATCTCCTGTTTCCCAGGATACCAATGGAAAGGGGACCTGGAGGTCTAACTACTTCATATAAAGACTTTTAAGTGATCTCTCTCTCTCTCTCTCTTTTTTTTTTTTTTTTTGGCCTAGGGCTTATTCATTGGGCTCAAGCAATCCTCCTGCCTCAGCCCTGCAAATAGTTGGTGGGACTACAGGTGTGAGCCACTACACCTGGCTAATTTTTGTATCAAAACCTCAGCTGCTGTTCCCCCCCACACTTTTTCTTTTTTTCTTTCTTTTTCCTTTCCTTTCCTTTTCCTTTTCCTTTTCCTTTCCTTTCCTTTCCCTTTCCCTTTCCCTTTCCCTTTCCCTTTCAACTCAGGCCAGGTGCAGTGGCTCACACCTGTAATCTCAGCACTTTGGGAGGCAGAGGCAGGTGGATCACCTGATGTCAGGAGTTTGAGAATAGCCTGGCCAACATGGTGAAACCCCATCTCTACTAAAAATTAGCCAGGCATGGTAGCACATGCCTGTAATCTTAGGTACTCAGGAGGCTGAGGCAGGAGAATTACTAGAGCCCAGGAGAAGGAGGTTGCAGTGAGCCGATATCACGCCACTGCACTCCAGCCTGGCCAACAGCAAGATTCTGTGTCAAAAAAATAAAAAATAAAGAAAGTGGCAAACTCATTCTAAAATTTATATAGGAATGCAAGGGGCCCAGAATAGCCAAACAGTGTTAAAGGAAGAACAAAAAATTTGGAGGACTCAGTTTTCCCAATTTAAAAATTTACTACAAAGCCATGTTAATCAAGATGATGTAATATTGGCATAGGATAGACATTTAGCTCAATGAAGTGCCCAGAAAGTTAACGCTTACTTTTGTGGTCAGTTGATTTTTGACAAGGGTGACAAGATAATTTAGTGGGAGAGTGTGGTCTTTTCAACAAATGGTGCTGGGACAAATAGGTATCCTTGTGCAAAAATGTGAAGTTGGATCCCTGTCTCACACCATATATGAACATGAACTGAAAATGGATCCTAGACCTAAGTATAATAGGTAAAACTGTAAAATGCTTAGAAGAAAATGTAAAAATAAGTCTTCATGGCCTTGGGGTAGGTTTCTTGGATATGACATCAAAAGAAGCAACAAGAGAAAGAAAAGGTTAAATTGGACTTCTTCAAAACAAACATTTTGTGCTTCAGAGAACACCATCCAGGAAATACATGTAGAGATAGTAGAAGTACTCTGGTCTCTTTACCACTTTTATTTTCCCAGTGTTCTATTTTGCCTACTTACAAGGCAATGACAGTGCTATATAAATAGTACCTTGTAAATTCTTGGTATATATTTGTTGAAAGGGAAAAACTAAAGGTATGTGATAGGTTTTATTTTATGAAAATTTTCTAATTTTAGAGCCTCCTTCATATTAATTGCATTTTAAAAATATTGAAATATCATATCCTTCTTACATGTGTTCCCATTTTTCTTATATTTTGTTTGATCTTCTTTCTTTGCTACCTGGGTTTATATTGTTCTTTCTAGTACTTCTAGTCTTTTTCCTGTTTTCTTTTTTCTTTTTTTTTTTTAGAGACATAGTCTTGCTCTGTTGCCCAGGTTGGAGTGCAGTGGTGTGATCAAGGCACACTGCAGCCTGGCCATAATCTTTATTTTTAATGTGTTTATAACTATTGGCATGCTTCAGTACTGTGATTACCTCTGCCTTCCTTTTCTTTTTCACTCAAGATTTTTAATTGCAATTTCTAATCCCCTTGCCTTTTTTCACCTAGTCATCCACACTTCTTAAGCAGTTACTTCTTTCCCCAACATTTTATTATAAAAAATTAAAAAAAATTTTTTTTAGAGACAGGGTTTCACTTTACTTTCCAGGCTGGTCTCAAATTCCTGGGCTCAAGCGATCTGCTTGCCTCAGCCTCCCAGAGTACTGGGATTACAGGTGTGAGCCACTGTGCTTGGCTGATGATAAAACATTTTAAACATAGCCTGGGTGTGGTGGCAGCTCTTGTCTATTATCCTAGCACTTTGGAAGACTGAGGCAGGTGGCTCGCTTGAGCCCAGCAGTCAAGATGAGCCTGACTAACATGGTGAAACCCTGCACCTACCAAAAATACAAAAATTAGCCAATCACAGTGGTGCACATCTGTATTCCCAGGTACTTGGGAGGCTGAGGCTCAGGAGAATCACTTGAGCCCAGGAGGCAGAGGTTGCAGTGAGCCAAGATCACGCCATTGCACTCCAGCCTGGGAGACAAAGTGGAAGACCCTGTCTCAAAAAAGTGTTTTTTAAACATGCAGAAAAACCGAAAGAGTTGTGCTGTGAACACTCATGTACCTACCATCTGGATTCCATCATTTTATCTTTTGCTGCTGTTGTTGCAGTTTAAAGTAGCAGATCTCAGTACACTTCAACCCTAAGTATTTTAGCATGCACATGATTGGCTGGAGTTTAATATTTGTGTAGAGGACTTTTTTCTTTTGTGGTAAAATTTACATTGAACAATATGCAAAGATTTAAAATATACCATTTAATGATCTCTGTCTTCTGTTTCCTTTCAAGTCACTTGTGTTTTACTAAGAGAACTAGTACAACCATTAGAAGGCTACCATCCCAAAACTTAGGTATTCATTTGGAGTTTCAAAAATAAACTTTGAATAACACAAAGTACCTTAAAAATGTCTCCTTTTTTGTTTTTATTATCTGCATGTGCTAGACAGCAAAATGATTATAGTCAAGGCATTTATTTTTTCCAAATTGTTCTGTACTTTAGCAGAAACTCTTAACTTGGTTTAGTGCTATTACACAGTGCATGCTGGAGGAAGTAACTTGATATTTTTGTTTAGTTAAAAGTATGAAATCATAAAGGCCAGGATTGCTTTTTTTGTCAAATTCACAAGCTAAATATGCAAAACAGGTAGTTAATTCAAAATGCTTTAAATATTTATGAAGGGATTTCTAGTTTATTGAATGCTTGCATTTAAAAAAAATTCATTTGAGCCTCACATTAACCATGTTAGAGAGACGAAACTGCTGGCTGAGGAGATGCAGGCCTAGAAAGCGGGAAGGGTAACACAGCAAGTGGTAGTGCGGTCAGCTGAACTTGGATCTTCTCATTGTAAGTTTTGTCCAGTGCTAACAACTGCAGTCACACTAAGTCTTTAGTTCAGAGACCCTTCCACATACTGGGATTTGTTTATGCATAACTATGAAATGTTTTCTTATGCAGACTAGTGTTCACTGTAATGGCAGCTGTGATGCAAAGACTTACTAGGACAATATTTTGAATTCTCCATGATGCAGTACTTAGATATAAAAGAACTATATCAGGATCCATATTAGGCACAGAACTTTCTAAGTATTCTATATTTAGAATGTGACATACTGATGTTACGTTCTGTTCTTAAGAACTGGACAGTATCATGATTGAAGTGCCACTTTTACTGTGGCAAAATGCCTATTCTTTCAGACGTGTATTATATGAGAAGCTCATTGAAGAAGAGAAAGCCTTAGTGAAATGTCTGTTTTGAAGTTTTATATTCCACAAGATCCTGAAGATACTTTCCTTCTTTTCCTTAAGTAGACAAATACTTCATGACAAAACCATCTGGGGAAAATCAGCTTGTCACTGTGTGGGTAAAGGACTTGACAAAAATACAGGCAATTTTGTTCTTATCAGTTGATAAAAGCTTTAGCTCTTGAAGTTGTTTAACACCACCCAGGAAACACTGGAAGAAGTGCTCCTGAAGAAAAGTGTTCTCGAGGAAACCTTGGGATAGAAATGTACTGCAAGTCCTTTAGGATCAGAAACAAAATAAGCTATTTAAGGTTTCCTTTGAGTCTACATTCTCATATTGGTCATTTTGTTGAAAAGTTTTCCATTGGCTATGTTAGGAATCTTACTTCTTTCAAGGTTTGCTTCATCACTGATACCGAAGGACATGGAGTTACTAGAAAATAGATTACATGAGAACGGAAAAACTTGTAATTTTTTCTTCTTTTTTTCCCTTTTCTTTTTAGAGACAGAGTCTCCCTCTGTTACCCAGGCTGGAGTGCAGTGGCTCTATCACGGCCCACCATAACCTTGACCTCCCTGGGCTTACACAGTCCTCCCACCTCAGCCTCCCAAGTAGCTGGGACTACAGGTGTGTGCCAACATGTCTGGATAATTATTTTAATTTTTTGTAGAGACAGTGTTTTACCATGTTGCCCAGACTGGTCATTTTTCTAATATTGGTGAGGATACCTGGCTACAGGGTACAAATAATACAATTCTTTTAAAAGTACTAGGTTATCCTTTGAACTAAGTAGTCTTTGATCTGCATCGTGTGCAACTGAAAAAGGTGACAGGAACTGGCCAGTCAGTCATATAAACACCTAGGTGCTTTCTGCAGTTATTACAAGAAGGATAAGGAAGATAGAAAGGAAGTTGTTCCTATTTCCTGCTTATCCTGTGCTGCTTTTTACTGTCATCTCTTTCTCAGGGCTGCCTGTTCTGGAGCTGTTGAAACCATTTTGTTTGGAAGTAATTTTAAGAAAGAATAATTTTTACATAAATCTCTGATCCAGTAGTACTCTGGCAGGTCTAAGGCACAGGCGATATTAAGTGAGAAAGAAAGAAAAATGATTATGGGGGTAGAGGAGAAAGAAAAGAAAGAAGCACATTCAAAAGAATGCTACCTGCAGTGCTTTCAGATGAGCCTCTCAGTAGTATAGCATGTTATGCTTAATTTCATGTAATCCAGTTGGGGGCTAGTTTATTTTTTGAGCCTTGGATTGGAATGTTTTTTATTTTTATTTATTTGTTTTTTGAGATAGGGTCTCTGTCACCCAGGCTGGGGTGCAGTAATCATGACTCACTGCAGTCTCAACCTCCCAGGCTCAGTCAGTTCTTGCACCTCAGCCTCTCAAGTAGCAGGAACTACAAGGGTGTGCCACCATGGCTGGCTAATTTATACAAAATTTTTGTAGAGGCAGGGTTTTGCCATGTTGCCTAGGCTGGTCTAAAACTCTTGGGCTCAAGCAATTCTCCTGACTCAGCCTCCGAAAGTGCTGGGATTATTAGACGTGAGCCACCATGCCTGGTTTTAGTTTTTAAAAAATGCATCTCGTCAGGTGTGGTGGCGCATGCCTGTAATCCTAGCACTTTGGGAGGCCAAGCCTGATGGCTGATGAGGTCAAGAGATTGAGAGCATCCTTGCCAACGTGGTGAACCCTGTCTCTACTAAAAATTCAAAAATTAGCTGGGCGTGGTGGTGTGCACCTGTAGTCCCAGCTACTTGGGAGGCTGAGGCAGGAGAATCACTTGAACCTGGCAGAGATTGCAGTGAGCCAAGATCGTGCCACTGCACTCCAGCCTGGGCCACAGAGCAAGACTCTGTCTCAAAAAAAAGAAAATATCTCTTTTTCCTCAATGCTATTGAAATTTTAGAGAATTAAGAAAAAAATGTATCCATAATCCTAACCTCCTAACAAAACCACTGGTAAACTATTGACATACTTCCAGCCAAATCTATTTTTATTCTCTGATTATTTTTATGTTTTATGTGTCTGGAATTAGAAAATGCTTACATTTTTGTCTTTTGCTTCTGTGAAATGTTTTTCAGTGTGTCCTTGGAAAGCTGGCTGACAGATAAATACTGGATGATACCACAATGCATTCGCTAAATTGTCAATTCTAGTCTGAAAAGGAACATTGTGTTGCATGTTGCTTTTTTTTAAGTAGGTGGCTAATATTTGTATACATCATTACCATTTAAAAAGAATGTTTTAAAAATTTCAGTCTGTCATGGTGGCTAATGCCTGTAATGCCAGCACTTTGGAAGGCTGAGGCAAGTGGATCACCTGAGGTCAGGAGTTGGAGACCAGCCTGGCCAACGTGGTGAAACCCCATTTCTCCTAAAAATACAAATTAGCCAGGTATGGTGGCACATGCCTGTAGTCCCAGCTACTCGGGAGACTGAGACAGGAGAATCACTTGAACCTAGCAGGTAAAATTGCACTGAGCCAAGATTATGCCACTGCATTCTGGCCTGGGCAAGAAAGAGCGAGACTCTGTCTCAAAAAAAAAAAAAATTATTTCGGTAGTTTTTGGGGTACAGATGGTTTTTGGTTACATGGGTAAGTTCTTTAGTGGTGATTTCTAAACTGTTTGAGTGTACCCCATCACTCAAGCAGTTTGCACTGTACCCGGTGTGTTGTCTTTTATTCCTCACTCTCTGCCCTTGCCCTCACCACCAAGTTCCCAAAGTTGATTATATCATTCTTATGCCTTTGTGTCTGTGTATTTTTACTCCTACTTATAAGTGAGATCATATGATACATTCCTGAGTTACTTCGCTTAGAATAATGACCTCTAACTCCAAGTTGCTGCAAGAGACATTATTTCATTTCTTTTCATGGCTGAGTAGTATTCCATGGTGTATCTATACCACATTTTCTTTTTCTGCTCATTGGTTGATGGGCACTTAGGTTTTTTCCATCTCTTTGCAATTATGAATTGTGCTGCTATAAACATGTGTGTGCATGTGTCTTTTTCACATAATAACTTTCGTAGAGACCCAGTAGTGGGATTGCTCGATCAAATGGTAGTTCTACTTTTAGTTCTTTAAGAAATTTTCGGGCCAGGCTCAGAGTGGCTCATGCCTGTAATCCCAGCACTTTGGGAAGCCGAGGCGGGCAGATCAGCTGAGGTCAAGAGTTTGAGACCAGCCTGGCCAACATGGCAAAACTCTGCCTTTACTAAAAATACAAAAATTAGCCAGGCAGGGTGGCACACACCTGTAGTCTCAGCTACTCGGGACGCTGAGGCAGGAGAATCACTTGAATGCAGGAGCTGGAGGTTGCAGTGAGCCGAGATTGGGTCACTGCACTCCAGCCTGAGTGAAAGAGTGAGTGAGACTCCATTTCAAAAAAAAAAAAGAAATCTTTATATTGTTTTCCATAGTGGTTGTACTAATTTTCATTCCCATCAGCAACGTATACACTATTACTATTAAGTAAGTGAATAATCTTTAAAATTATGGTGAAGATGATTGAAAACTTCTGAGAAAACTCTTCTGTCCTCTTCAAGAGTTGTTCTGATTTGTGTCTGGGATATATCTGCTGCTACATTAAAAAGTATATTTTTTGTGTGTTTTCTTTTTTTATTTTTTGAGATGGAGTCTTGCTCTGTTGCCCAGGCTGGAGTGCAGTGGCGCAATCTCAACTCACTGCAACCTCCACCTCCTGGGTCCAAGCTTTTCTCCTCTCTCAGCCTTCCGAGTATCTGGGATTATAGGCATGCGCCACCATGCCTGGCTAATTTTTATTTTTGAGATGGAGTCTTGCTCTGTCACCCATGCTGGAGTGCAGTGGCATGGTCTTGGCTCACTGCAACCTCCACTTACCAGGTTCAAGCAACTCTTCTGTCTCAGTCTCCTGAGTAGCTGGGATTACAGGTGCCCACCACCACGTCTGGCTAATTTTTGTATTTTTAGTAAAGACGGGGTTTCGCCATGTTGGCCAGACTGGTCTCAAACTCCTGATCTCCAGTGATCCGCCTGCTTTGGCCTCCCAAAGTGCTGGTATTTACAGGTGTGAGCCACTGCACCCAACCAGTGTTTCCATTTTTAAATGAGTTCTTAATCAGATCTAGATATATCTTCTATAGTGAAGTAGTAAAGCATCATCAGTCTTTATTTGGCTGGACAGAATAACAGGCTAGCTCTGATGAATGAGAAATGGTGTCAGATAAGTTGGGAATGTCTTGAATCTTTATTGAAAAAAGCTTTTTGGTGGAGTAATTCTGCTTTATTTTGCCTGAATGAAGTAAATTCCAGTGCATTAAAGTCATTTAGAGTTTCAATATAGCCAGTTCTGTTAGGACAGACTTACTTGAGAATTCCTTTGTGATTCATACTGTAATGAAATTTTGCTGGTTTATTTTGGTAAAGCAAGTCAAAAATGTTTAAGTTACCGAATATTTAGCTAAATGAGCTATGCTTCTTAGCAATGTGTATAGAAGAAAAGAGGTCATGAGATTTGTGTTGCATTCTTTCATGGTAATTAATCTTCAGTCTCAAATACCGTGTGTTAGAAAGGTTAGATGGTCTTTTTCATCCTTATTATTTAATCCTGGCAGATGGGTTTTTCTTCTCCCTTTTGTTAAAATAGGTTTAATAAGTAATAGTAACAGGTTCGTAGATAATAGTCTTTTTATTTTATTTACTTATTTTTTTGAGATGGAGTTTCACTCTTGTTGCCCAGGCTGGAGTGTAATGGCGCAATTTCGGCTCACTGCAACCTCTGTTTTCTAGGTTCAAACGATTCTCCTGCATCAGCCTCCCAAGTACCTGGAATTACAGGCATGCGCCACCATACCCGATTTTGTAGTTTTAGTAGAGACGGGGTTTCGCCATGTTGGTCAGGCTAGTTTCGATCCCCTGACCTCAGATGATCCACTTGCCTCTGCCTTCCACGGTGCTGGGATCACAGGCATGAGCCACCGCGCCCAGCGAGATACTCTTAACCATTTGACTACATTTGTTTTGTTCATCACTGTACCTTTAGCACTTTTTGTAGTACCTGGTAACGACAGACACTCAGGTATTTGTTACACGGACAGTGTTGGTTATTGTTATTTGCGGAATAATAAACCTTCATTTTTTCTTTTATATGGTTGTGGGTTTTATTTTGTTTTGTTTTTTGACATGGAATCTCTCTCTGTCACCCAGGCTGGAGTCTAGTGGCGCGATCTCTGCTCACTGCAACCTCCGCCTCCTGGGGTCAAGCAATTCTCCTGCCTCAGCCTCCAGAATAGCTGGGATTATAGATGTACACCACCATGCTCGGCTAATTTTTGTATTTTTGGTAGAGACAGGGTTTCACCATGTTGACTAGGCTGCCCAGCTATGGTAATTTTAAATGGTTTAGTAGAATTTCTGCTGACGGCAGCTTTCTGAGGCTAATTTTATAATACACTCTCATAGGTTGCTGTGGGTAGCATAGTCAAAAGAGTTAGGAGGTTTAATAATTAGTATAAAATTAAATATTCCAAAATTTATTGGAGTAATTTGATAGTAGGAAGAGAGGTATTTGGTGACTAATTTCTCTAAGAAGAAAGCTAATTTCTCTGTTAAAAGTGAGTGTATAAATGAGCATGAAAACTGCACAAAGAGAACTATCCTATATTATTATGTTTTTGTTTATTTCAGGGCTGAAAACACAGTTAAATCACTGTCAAAGTTAAAAGGCTATTAAGTACACAAGATGGGGACTCCTGGGTCTGGAAGGAAAAGAACACCTGTGAAAGACCGATTTTCTGCAGAAGATGAAGCTTTGAGTAACATTGCCAGAGAGGTAGGTATGTTTGGTAAATCCCCTCTCCACACTGAGTTGCACAGATGTGCTGTAACCATGCCCAGGGGACAGAGATACAGACATTTACTCATTTAACTAGTTTTGGATGTTTGTTAAGAGGAAGATATTATAGCTGGTCTCTAAAATAGTGTATTAGAATAAAATATAGTTGGGTATTATCAAAAGAAATCAAATATAGAGATGAATCTCTGAACAACACATTTTATTTGTGACAATAGAATTGTAATTTGGGCATACACACAGACTGCTTTGGTCTTTGGTATGTCCAAAGAATAAAGAAAAGATTGGGTTTTTTATTAGAGAAATGTTATCTTTTGTTTTGAAAGAAAACTCATCACCACTAGCAAAGTTTTTGGGAGCTGGCACGCTCTGATTGGTTATTGACTGTGGTAGGTTAAACTAGTCTTAGAGTTACTGCAGTTCATTTCCGCAGCTACCAGGAAAAACTGGTCTTAAAGTTATGGCAGGGTATTTCAGCAGCTGGCTTGTCAGATAATCCCTGGGCAGGTGCTTGTGCCCTAAGTACTTTTCTTTTCCTTTTCTTCCCCCTGGTCTCTAATTTAATTGGGTGTGACAAGATAATTCCAATTTATATAATCAATGCATCCAAAATTATTTTTTCTTTATATTTTTGTGGGTTGCTTGAGTTCCATGTACTTTTTCTAATGTATTGAAATTTGTGATTAATCTTTGGAATGTAAACATAATGAGAATGTTGAAGATATGGTAACTACATTATAGAAGTACTCATTGGGCTCTGCAGTGAATATGCTTCGGATGTGCTGATATAAATGAAACAATATTTCATGTCTGTTCGGATTCAGAGCCTTATGGTTAAAAGTTCTACTGAAACATTGCAGTGGAATTTTTATGTTTAATTCTTTAGCTGGTAACAGAGTTTCTGGGGCAATTTTGTTTCAGCTTGTTGTAACTCAGAATAAAGAAAAAGGGAAGAGGTGTCACCTATTGAATCACTGGCAACATTTCCTGCTGTATATTGGAATTTTTTTTTTTTTGGAGATGGAGTGTTGCTCTGTCCCCCAGGCTGGGGTGCAGTGGCACAATCTTGGCTCACTGCAACCTCCTGCCTCCCAGGTTCAAGCGATTCTCCTGCCTCAGCTTCCTGAGTAGCTGAGATTACAGGTATGCGCCACCATGCCTGGCTAATTTTTGTGTTTTTAGTAGAGATGGTGTTTCACCACGTTGGCCAGGCTGGTCTCCAACTACTGACCTTGTGATCCACCTGCCTCGGCCTCCGAAAGTGCTGGGATTACAGGTGTGAACCACTGTGCCTGACTGATAATTCCAGTTTATATAATCAATTTTCACAATATCCAATGCATGAAAAATTATTTTTTCTTTATATTTTTGTGGGTTACTTGAGTTCCATGTACTAGTTCTAGTGTTCTAAAATGTATAATTAATCTTTGGAATGTAAACTTAGGATAATTAAAAGTTGAAGATACGGCCGGGTGGGGTGGCAGGCGCCTGTAATCCCAGCTCCCCAGGAGGCTAAGGTCGGCGGATCATGGGTGCTTGGGAGTTCAGGGCTGCGGCTGTGTAGAGCAGGCGTCCGCACCGGGCCTGGCACCAACATGGGGTTCCCGGGGGAGCCCGGGGGTGCCAGGTTGTCTAAGGAGTGGGGGACCAGGCCCAGGCCCGACACGGAGCAGGTGAAACTCCTCATGCTGGGTGGCGGTGGGACCGCGCCCACGAGCAACACCTGCAGTTCCCCTCTGGACATCCGACGAGACCCAGTCTCTGGGGAGGAAAAAAAAGAAATTGAAGATACGATGACTATATTATAGAAATACTCATTGGGCTATGCCGTTGATATGCTTCAGATGTACTGTATAAATGTTGATGGAAACGATATTTCCTGTCCAGATTCAGTGTTTTATTTTTTGAAACATTGCAGTGGAATTTTTATGTTTAATTCTCTTACCTGGTAACAGCTTCTGGGACAATTTTGTTTCAGTTTGTTGTAACTCAGAAAAAAGGAAGGGGTGTCACCTATTGAATCACTGGCAACATTTCCTGTTGTGTATTTGAGATTTAAGATAACTACTAGCTGGGATTTCTTAATGAATTGCCAACTTTGTTTCTAATTCGATCTGCAACTGCAGACTGACCATGAACTAATATGATACAAGAATTGTGCAGGGCGGGATGGCTCACACCTGTAATCCCAGCACTTTGGGAGGCTGAGGTGGGCGGATCATGAGGTCAGGAGATCGAGACCATCCTGGCCAACATGGTGAAACCCCGTCTCTACTAAAATACAAAAAAAAATTAGCTGAGTGTGGTGGCACGCACCTGTAGTCCCAGCTACTCAGGAGGCTGAGGCAGGAGAATCGCTTGAATCTGGGAGGCGGAGGTTGCAGTGAGCCAAGATCGTGCCACTGAGCTCCAGCCTGGCAACAGAGCAAGACTCCATCTCAAAATAATAATAATAATAATAATAAAGAATTGCTTAGAGGATCATTATATTCTTTTGGTGAGAATTATTACCATATCACTTCTTCTTTGTTATTAATAAATAGCTCACTTAGGAATAGCATAATTTCCTTTAGATGCATTACACAGTCTTTTGACTCAGCTCATTGTTATGATTTTCCTATCAGAAGCTACTTGATTAGCTTTTGAATTAGAATTCAAATGCTGTAGGAAGCTATTTGAAGCAAAGGAAAGTTACACAAAACCTGATTTTAAAAATTGTGATATTACTATCACAAAATGACTTTAAAAATCAATTAGAGCATTTGGGTTGATTCCATGTCTTTGCTATTGTGAATAGTATTCCAGTAAATGTACACGTGCATGTATCTTTATAATAGAATGATTTATGTTCTTTGGGTATATACCTAGGAATGGGATTGCTGGGTCAAATGGTATTTCTGGTTCTAGGTCTTTGAGGAATCACCATACTATCTTCCACAATGTTGAACTAGTTTACACTCCCACCAACAGTGTAAAAGTGCTCCTTTTTCTCGACATCCTCTCCAGCATCTGTTGTCTCCAGATTTTTTAGTGATCACCATTCTGACTAGCATAAGATGGTATCTCATTGTGGTTTTGATTTGCATTTCTCTAATGATCAGTGATGTTGAGCTTTTTTTCAATGTTTGTTGGCTGCATACATGTCTTCTTTTAAGAAGTGTCTGTTCATGTCCTTTGCCCAGTTTTTAATGGGGTTGTTTTTTTCCTTTAAGTTTGTTTAAGTTATTTGTAGATCCTGGATATTAGACCTTTGTCAAATGGATAGCCATTTTGTAGCTTGTCTGTTCACTCTGATGATAGTTTCTTTTGCTGTGCAGAAGCTCTTTAATTAGATCCCATTTGTGAATTTTTGCTTTTGTTGCAATTGCTTTTGACGTTTTCATCATGAAATCTTTGCCCGTGGCAATATCCTTAATGGCATTGCCTAGATTTTCTTCTAGGGTTTTTATAGTTTTGGGTTTTACATCAACTCAAATGCCCATCAATGATAGACTGGATAAAGAAAATGTGGTACATATATACCATGGAATACTGTGCAGCCATAAAAAGGAGTAAGATCTTATCCTTTGCAGAGACATGATGGAACTGGAAGCCGTTATCCTTAGCAAACTAATACAGGAACAGAAAATCAAACATGTTCTCACTTATAAGTGGGAGTTGAATGATGAAAACACATGGACACAGGAGAAGGGGAACAGCACACACTGGGGCCTGTGGCGGGGGGTTTTGGTGGGGTGAGAGAGAGCAGCAAGATAAATAGCTAATGCTTGTGGGGCTTAATACCTAGGTGATAGCTTGATGGGTGCAGCAAACCACCATGGCACATGTTTACCTATGTAACAAACCTCCAGGTCCGGCACATGTATCCCAGAACTTAAAATAAAATGAAATAAAAATCAATGAGATCTTTTTCAGTTAAAAGATGAAAGATATTTAAAAGTGAAAAAGTAGATACTACTTTATATAGTGAGTGATCTTAAGTATTTGCACAAATGAAGCATTTTGGAAGCAACGTAGTTATAGTTGAAAATTGAAACTACCCAGAATGTTTTCTTTCAAAATTGGAGAGATTTACCCAGATTTCTGTAAGGGAGGAAAATGCTACCACCTTCTAGTCTCTGTGTGTGTTGTCACTAAGTATTTTACTTTTTATTTTTAATGTGATGCTTTCTTTAAAAAATTGTGTAGTATTTAACATCCAGTACTTGTTGAGTGCTTACTATGTGGTAAACACTATTGTAAGCATTTTATGTACATGGGTTCATTTCATCCTGAAAAAATTCCGGATTCATTTTTTTTTCCATCCGCATTTTACAGAGGCAGAAACCATTGCACAGAAAAGTTAAGTAACTTCCCCAAGGTTACATAACTAGGAAATAGCAGGTCTTGGATTCAGACCCTGAAGCTTGGCTCCACAGTCTGTGTATTTAACCTCTTACTATGCCACATTGTTCTCAATCAGTCTTTTCTAATTCCACCATTCATAGCTGCTTGTTGTTGTTTTCAGGAACTTTTCATGACTTTGAAAGCAGTTTCATATCTTGATTCTCACAAGTCTTGAGCTAAGTAGGATAGGTATTATTATCAGCCGTGCTTACAGCTGGGTAAACAGGTGATGTTAGATAACGGTCTAGAATGTGTCAGAAACAAGGCTGACATTCCGCCATTTAGAGTCATTGTTCATGTTCCAGGAGAGGTGGGCTTTGGAGTCTTAGTGGTGTGACTTTGAGTTCGGCTATACTAGTTGCTGCTTAAATAACTTTAAGTAACTTCTCTAGACTTCAGTTTCCTTGTCTGTAAAATGGGAATAATATTATTTTCCTGTCTCACAGAGTTGTGATGGTTAGAGGAGATAATGCTTGTGAACCTTTAGAACAGTGTTAGGCTTGCAGTAGGCTATTTGTTGCTTATTAAAAAGCAGAAATTGAAAGTGATAATAGAAGACTAGTAGAAAGGTAAAATGGGCTCTTTTTGCAAAA